GCATCTCACTTATCGCCAAGGGTAATGCCAAGTTTACAGAATGCATTTGGTACGTAATTTAGCCTCTAATATCGCCCCTCGTTAACCGCAACCGCCAGCAATTAATGGCTATGTACAATTCTAATATAAATGGCAAATGCATTGAAATATACACTCCGTTTATACTTACTATCGAAGTGTTGGTCGGTATCAGTTGATCAAGTTTCTATGGTAAACATACACAAGCACATCGCATGGCGAGTCCTCTGTAATAGCATAGTTATTTAGCTGTATAGTACTAGCGGTAGTGGTTTGTCAATGCGGGTTGTAATTTCGTAATCGATCATCTTTGGAACCCAAGTAACGCGATGGATCGATTACAATCGGTTACTCGGGGTGTTGATGCCTGCGTGTGCGTAACGTCGTGTGCATGTAGGTTGTGTGCATGTATGTGCCTGTTTAGCCCCTGTTTACTGTTTGTTTAGGCACTGTTTACTACTGTGTGTATAATACATGTATGTTAATAAAGGATAACTTGTATAGTAGCGAATGAATATCTCTGACTTTCTCCCATCACTTATCCAAGTTTTCGTTATCAAGTTTATTTATTTTTGTCCGATGAAATCGATTATGGATTTTTGATACCCAAGCGGCTTGGTTCGAAGCCAGCTGTTCAACAATCGATGATCGAGTATAATGCGATAAATCCGTGACTATCCACTAAACTGAGGCGGTAGACATTTCGCCCCCATCATCATCTTAAAATGACTATTGGGAGATTTTTGCTCAGAAAAACTAAATATAGCTGAATATAGTCTCCCCTTGACAGCAAAATATCACGGATTACAGCCACATTAAAAAATACTAAGATTTTAATGCAGTTATAGCAGCAGAAAATTGGAATATGAAATTCATGTCATCGTAACAGCAATTCATTCGTAGCAGAGATTGGTTAAACTTGTATTGTGTCGGTGATATAATTGAACACAAAGTGCATTGATTGAGAGAGCCATGCTTTGTCTATGCAGATCAGCGGTGGCCCACAAGCTAATCCACACTTGCCGGCCTAGTTGCAAGATAACAGCCAAACGAATGTTTACGAAAGCTAGTTCAAACCAGTACGTTCGAAACTGGCAGTTTTTGGTGAATACGAAGGGTTCTAAAGACATTTTTATTGTTACTCTAGACAATTGCTGTTACTCAAGCATAACGGTAGGGTCATAAAAGTGGTGAAAACACTGGAAAATTTCTCGAAGCACCTAATCGCTTTAATACTCGGAGGTCATTCAGACTATTGCGGATATTTTTGAGTCGAACGCATATTCTAATGAAGCGGAGGCTGAACATTTTCTGCCGTAGTCCCTCCTACAAATGCTCGTGCATGGTCCTGTCACTCATTTCGCATGTTCTAAACAAAAGTCATATTTCAGACTTTTTTATAAAAGAATTGAAAAAAAGACCCACAGACTATCAAAATACTGCACGCAAAACTTAAATGTACATGTACATGTGCTGAGATCCGGACTAAATGAAAACACGGAAAACGACCATGAAAACTATAATATTTTTATTTTATAGTAATTCAGTTATAAAACAAAGAATTTTGTAATATGATTTTTTTTTATGCATGCGATTTTTGTTTATAATCAATATATCATCTATTCTTGATTGGTTTTTCTAGGGGCAACTGGAGGCTATTTAGTGGTGATATTAAAACATGGCAATCTAATACCCTTGTTACAAACGCCAATATTTTCGCCAGTCCGCGAATGGTGGCGGTATAACGTGGTTTTTACTGTAATATGGATATTTTAGCAGTAATAAATGGAATTAGTAAAAAGACATGTCATCTGATTGTTTTTAAATTATCAATTAAAACATATAAATTATTAATTAGCATTCACACTTCATGTCTCCTCCAGTTGCAAAACTATAATAGTTCTGTCTTATTTTGCCAGTTTTATAGTAATACAAATACGCCGAGCCGCATCCATAATAAGTAGCAAATGCTTCTATAAATTATGCCTAAACTTGGCCTGATTTTTTCATTATATTTATAAGATCAATATATCTATAATAATAATAATATATATATATATATAT